TCATCTGTGACTGACCTTTCAGGATTTTGCTGATTTAATTAAAACATTATAAACACTGGAAACACTAGCATGGGGCCTGGTATAAAATAAGAGCTCAAAAACATATTAAAGTAAACAAATCTTTAAAAATGGAAAGATGGTATACTTTCCTGTTCCCACAATTTTTACTCTGTAAAAATTTATATAATCAATGAACTTTTATCATTTGATTTTGTATGGCAATTGAAGCCATTTTTGGTTGGTTTATATAAAAATGAAACAGGTGCTTATAAAGTTATATGGTTAATGCTCATTTGCATCATGTAAATAACCATTCAACACGGACTAACATATACACTGAGTGTTATTTATGTGTCTGTAAAAGTAAAGCAAATTTCTGTGATGGCATGAATACAAGTATTTTAATATGGTCTCATTGGTCCCTTCAATAAATTCTCTGGAGACAGAACAGAATTGAAAGGTAAGTTATCCACAATACATACAACCAAACAGATTGATGTTGCAGCAAACCCTTTTAGAAGTCCATGTAATTTGTATATCCCTTTCTGTGTATAACAGAGAATTATAAATCATAAAATAAAGATACTGCCCTATGCAGAATGCAAGTATGCTTCTCATGATCTAAAGACTTAGCACTTCTGAAATGACCTACTGCATAATTAGAGGTACTCTAGTAAAGCAGAAAGCTCAAATTTCCTTGTAGCCAATGTGCTTCATGTGCATTCCAAGCCACAGAAAGGCTACTTTCCCTATCCCTGAAAAAAGGGGGTTTCTGAGTCTTTATGTGACACACATACAAATTTTACTCTCTTACAGATAATATGTAGGCACATTTCTCAGTAGAACTACAGAAGCAAAATATTGGTGATTCCAAAAGACATCAGGAGTCAGTATTCTAAAGCTGTCAGTAACCCAAGGACACCATGCTTCTCTTGTCCAAGTGAGCCAGCTCATTTTAAAGTCTGATGGCAACATAGAATTCAATGGGAGTTCACAGTATGTAGCATTCAGATGATGCTCCTCAACTATGGGGGTGTCACTTAAAATCTACAGAAAAAGGCCAGCACCAACCTTCCAATCCCTGTGTCATGCCTTTCCTAAAGATTTCAAGATTCTGGAGTCATAAATCATATATTCACCTCCATGTGACTGGTATTCAAGAGAGACAGAGATTTTCAGGTTTCTCTGCAGGATGTATCATGTTACTGGAAGATAGAAATGGCTGCTGTGCACACCAGTGGTCAGTAAAGCTCAAAGACAGAGTTTGATCCTTCTCAAATGATTTGAGAAAAGAATTCATATATATACTGCTTTGGATTAGGGGCTGATTTCTAAATAAACAGACGCAGCAATGGAAAGTCCAAAGACAGGCACAACAAAATACATTAGGAAAAATACGTTTCAAGATCAATTCTCTCAATCTTTGCTTTTTGCAAGCTTTGAAGATTATAAAATCAGTTGCATTAGGTTTATGATTTATAATCATTCTATCTTAACTACTTTTTCATTTGTTGAAAGAAAATCTGTTAACTCTTCTGGATTATTTCTTCTTTCCAGTCTCTAATGTTGTATCTCTAGCTAATACACTTCACTTACAGAGATAATTTAAAGGTAGTCATTTGTTTGAGAGGTGGGGAGGGAAAAAAGGGAAAATTTTTGCTACAACTAATCTCCTATTCCTTTTGGGCCCTAACAAAATAAGAAATGCTGGCGATTAGAAGACTGTATTGCCGCCAATAAAAAAAGAAAAGTGCTAATCCATACAACATAAGGCCAACCTAAGTGGGGCTATCTTCCTTAATTTGCAATGAACTGAGGTCAACTAGATTTTTATCTCAAATACAAACTGGAAGGGAGAAATCAACAAGAAAGGAAACACCACAACTTGGTTAGATCCTGCTTTTCACACAAGATTATATGACCGATAGCTACACAGGATGCTTCCAGAAGATTAGAAGGCCAAAAATAAGCAAGGAAATATGGCTGGCCCACTATTCACATTTATTTTAAAAAGAATAGTGCAATCTGATACATAACTACATTATGTATGTAAATGCTAAATTTGCACAATATTTTCCATTTAAGATAAAAAGTAAGAAAGCTTGAATTCTTTAATTATTGTCATGAGAAAGGCTGATCAGAAATCTTATGTATATGTAGTTTTTAATCATTCTGTTATCAGTTTACTGAATGGCCTACTGCAGGCTAAAGAAACAAAGTATAAAAATATCATCCCTGTTCTCAATTAGCTTATATTTTATTCAGAAATGATCTTAATATGAGAAATAAAAGGAAACATTTCAGTACAAAACTAAGAGAAGGCAGAAGGTAACCTACAAATTAATTATAGGAAATATAAGTTCTATAAGAATTCAGCAGGCGAAAGTATTTTCTCCCTGTGGGCTGGCAACATGTTTCTGAGCACAGGCTTTGGAGATAGTAAAATGCTGAGTTTTGCCTATCGCTGTAATTCCACAAAGTAATATGCTTAACCTCTCCTAGCCTTGACTATATCATCAGCAAAATGGGAATGATGACAATACCTACCAAATAGGGGTTGTTATATAAATTGATGCAGTGCATATGAAAGGATTTTGTAATCTGTAGGAAAACTATAAAATGACCATTGAGTTGGCGGTAAAAGGAATCACACCCAAGGGCCAGGAGGCTGGTAGGGAAGATGATTGACTTTTTCCCCCATATTTTCTATTGTTTGAACTTTTATAATGTTTGTACAATCTTGTAACCAAAAAAAAAAAAATTTAAACTGTATAAATACTATTGAAGTTTGCTTTCTAGAACCCATCACATTTTAGATATCTAACTGATAACTTCATAGACATAGAAAAAGGCCTCAGGAGATTTCCAAATGAATGCCTAGGACCTCATAAAGGCCTGGCATTTTAGATTGAACTTGATCACACGTTAGCATTTTTAACATTATAAGTAAGTGAGAGTTCATTGAAGGCAGGAAATGCGTCTTCTTAATCTTTTAATCTCAGTCCCTGGCATTGTGACTGACACATGAATGAGTAGGCAAGAATAAATATTTGTTGAACTCTGAGGGGGAAAGATAACTGGAAAATGCTTTTTAGACAACTGGAAGTCCATTGAGATGGGCCCAAATTCTAACAGGAACAATTATTAGTTGTTTCTGTTGAAAATCACTTAAATTGCTTCCAATGTCATAAAGATAAGCATATATTTGAGTCCCTTGGATAAAACATCATTAGGGACCTTTTTGAGAAAGGGATATCTCCTGTATTTGAAAAAGTATAGATATGTGGACTCAGAGAAAATCATGGAGCAGTGTGATCAGAACCACCTTTCATCCATCTTGCTCAAAAGTTCCAAGGCAGGTTTCATCACTGTAAATTGAAGAGGGGAGAGGAAAGGTATTCACTGTTTGTGGGAGGAACAATGACACACCTGAAATGCAGGCTTCTTGGCTCTGTGATCTCACCGGCTCATGGTTCCTCTATGACAGTTTATAAATAAGCACACAGACACTCAACAGGACAGAGTCAGTATTCACAGGCAGTAAGACCACTAGATCATATGGAGTCACACTGCTGTATTTCCAGTATTCTGCATGCAATGAAAGGAGGGAAAAGGGAATGGAGCTGTCTGGGTTGTTCAAGCACTATGGAATAGGTGCTAAAGACGTAAATGGAAGCAGAAATACTGTGATATGAAGTAATCCCTCTGATTTCCTTTGATAATTTAAATCTATCTATAAGTAATGAACCAATCTCTGCTTCAGCACATACATCTAAGTAATTCATTTTTTTTTATCTTATCTTCCTCCCAAGGTGACCAGAACTTGGAATAACTTTTGAGACCTTTTATGATACGTTAATTGAAAAAAAGATATTTCATGAAAAGTGAATACTTTAAGACAGTTCTCACTTGAAACTTTTTGAAATATTCAACCCAACATATTTAAAAGAGGTCAATTTTTCTGCTTCAAAAAGTATTGCAGAAAACCAGTAAAATGAATTGCTCTGGCTGTAATTCTTTAAAGAATGCTAAGTGTCTTATTTTGGCTACTCAAATTATTTGGAAGCTACCTAGGAATTTTCTCACATTTTTGATCTCTGGAGGGGCAATTAATCAAGCTCTTGTTTGAGGGAACTCAGACTTTAATCAGAATTCTATAGAGGCAAAGTCAGAGCGCAGTATACCCAGAATAGCTAACAGCATATATAATTGAAAACAGCAATAACAGGAGACGAAAAGTAGATGGCAGTGGGCTGATATGTTATAACCTTTGGTCAAGCAGTACTTGGCAAAATTCAACAGATTTAGTTAACCAGAGATAAAACCAAGCAGACTACCATTAAAACAAAACAAAAGCCTGAACACAGAATCAAGAATTACCAGTGGAAAAAACATGCTGGACTTAGCAGCATGGATCTACCAGAGGCAATTTGTTAAGAGACCGGGATTGTTATTTCATAGTGGAGGCTTAGAAATGAAAACTTGAACATTTCTGTAGGTCAAGCTATAGCACAGCACTCAGAGAGCCAGCCCAAATCGCTGAGGGAGCCGAGGCAGGCCGCATGTGGAACTAATTACTCATGCAGAGGCCATGACAAAGAACATTTCTCCAGACTTTTCATGGGGGCTTCACTTTCAGGAAGTTGCTATAATTACTGTTCAAGTCTAGAGCAGCCTGCAAGCTGCTGACAGATCCAACAGACGAGGAGGAGGAGGAGGAGGAGGAGGAGGAGGAGGAGGACCAGAAGGAGGAAGAGAAGGAGGAGGGGTGGGAGGAGGGAGAGAAAAAAAAGAACTTATCTGCCCTTTTGACAAGTGAAATGCCAGAAAATAAAGTACCCCGAGAAAGCTCAAAAAAGTTTCCAAATGAGCCCTGACTTCCAGTGTTCAATTCTCTGTTTACTTTTTTTTTTTTTTTTTAATCTATCCTCTATCTTCAAATTACTTTCCTAGCTTGGATCGGACAGCAAATTTGTGCCTCTACACTAACTCACTTTCAGTTGGCCACAGCAGAACTGTACATCTCGACTCTTTTTTTACAGCTTTTCCATACTGGGGCCCACTTCCTGCCCAGTTGAGGAAAAAAATCTGGCCTGAAGATGAAATGACTGCTTAACATTACACTAAAACATCTGGTACCATTTTATGCACAGACCCATGTCTGAGAGCAGGCGATTCTAGCGGTCTCTCCAGCGGCACAGCGCATACCCAAACCTCCCCAGGGTGACATCATCCCATATATGGACTCTCCAGCCCAGCCCTCCCCCTTTTCCTGGTCCTAAATTCATTGCCAGTTCCCCAGTCTGCAGCAAATGTGCCACGTCAAGACTGGAAATCACAGCCCTTGAGTGTGTCTCAGTCAGTGCAGCAGAATTCAGGGGGGAAAGCTGAATGCAACCCCTGGTGCAGGAAGGGAGGCTTTTCCCAAAGACAAGGAGAGGATTTTAAATACCTAGCTGGAAGCTTCTGGAGATCCTGCTCCGTCGCCCCAGTGTTCAGACTACCTGTTCAGGACAATGCCGTTGTACAGTAGTCTGCACATTGGTTAGACTGGGCAAGGGAGAGCAACGCCATGGACGACCGGGACAAAAGTTGCCGTTTCCAAGGAGAAGACATGTGTTTGCTTCTTTTTCAAATCTCATATCCAGTGTTTTTCTTCACAGGTTTTGCACACTAGGGACCAAGAAGCCGGTGGGGACAAAGCGGAGAAAGGACTGCTCGAGGGAGGACCTGCGGGTAAGGCCTTGACGGCTCACCTGGTCTGTGATCAGGAGAGCCTAGGTGGGGAATGCGGGGGTTTGCGTCCACTTTCAAAACAGGGGTGTGTGTGACGGGCAGCTCTGCATTTAGTTTGAATGAGTGATTTTTGGTTTGTGGTACAGAGTGATTTTTTTTTTTTTTTTTTTACCGTAGGTTATTCAATTTCTGAGGACTTATAAGTCAAATATTTTCTCAAGTTGAAAAGTTTTCCCACTTCAAAATGGAATATGAAAAGATTCTCAACACTAAAGAATAACTTAGCAAGGCTAGTTTTGAAGTGTTGAAATTGATAATTCAGAGACCTAAAAATTTCTCTGAATGAGGGCTGTGGTATAAATGTTCACATCCCAGGATGGAATTCATTTACCCCAAAGTGAAAAAAAAAAAAAAATACTTGCTATTTGTTTAATGTGAGATGGGAAGGGCTTTTTTGAAAATTTACTTATATAATTTAAATACTAGGAAAACAGTAACCTAACAATGAAAGAAGAGGCTGCCAAGTTTTTGCCCACCAGACAATGCAGATGGGACGTGCCCAGAAAAGAGCGCCAACTCAGAACTTATTGAGTCAGCAACTCAAGAAATCAGGAAAAAAAAAAAACATGTCTTCAGATATCCCTATAGAGAGAGATATTATATATCTAGCTAGATAGTATCTAATATCTATCTATCTATATATATTCATCTGGATCACTTTTATTTTTAAACCAAGAATGGTTGATAATTGCTGTTCAGCTGAGCCCCCATGCCTTTATTTTACAATGCTCCTATATCTCTCAGCATTTAAAATGATAAGGTACTTTGTCTAGCAACCCACTGATAAAAAAGGAATTTGTAAACGAAGGCAAAGTTTTCTTTGGTCAGTTTCCAGTTGTCCTGGAGGTGAAGGAGGGTGGGAGAGGGGTGGACGGTGGGAGGGAAGAAAGCCCTCAAGCTGAATGAAATCCCAATAGGGAGAATAATAGAGAAAGTCTGAGTTGCAATATGATCCATGATGAACTTCAGAGGTAGGTTCCTTACAGAAAGTTCTGGAAAAATGTTACTGCCTCACCCCTAATTCCCGAACCCCCTTTTACATCTCCACCCAAACAATTCTAATACAATGGAAACATCTTTTTTGAAAAATAAATATATGTTTTGTCTTCCTTTAAATCCCTCAGTTAAAGAGGCTCCCGAACAAATCTTTTTCTAAATTGTACATTTCCAAAATTGTCACAAGCTATCTTTTGCAAAATATTTTATTATAAAAGGTTCTCCAAGTTATTTGTCAAAAGAATTATTTTAAAAATAATCCTTTTGCTCATCCCAAACTTATACAAAGAATATGTTTCCTCCCCTTTTTTTAAAAAATATAAAAAACAGGAGAAATTAATTTTGTTATAGAGGATTTGCATGTAAGCTATCTTCTCCCCTTAGATAATAAAATAAAGTCCATCATTTTTTTAATTGTGACTCAGTCTTCCATATTAATTGCCTTTAACAGAAAAAATGAGATTTTAAAAATTTGTAGTTTCTTTTACACAGAAAAACTAAAAAAAATTATTAGATAACCTGTGGGAGTTTTTTCCCCAATAAATATGTTTTCACTAATTAATATAGCTACTAGAGAAGATACAGAGTTTATAATGTACCTGGCAAATTTTACACGGTTTCTCAGGAAAATAAGTGAATTTTATAACTTGCTTTTACTTCATGTATATTTATTTCAAATGCCTTTCTTCAATTAAATGGCCCTTTCGTTTCAAAGAAACTAACCATCACTGGTCCTTCACCTATTTTCTCTGCAGGATGACTTTTAGTCTGGGACAGAGAGACCCCGGGGGTGTCCATAACATATGTACAGTAGTAGAAATATAAGAATTAATTTGCAAAGGAGTGTCCAGGGAGCCCCTGCACATGCTCAGTGGAGTTCTGACAACCCATTTTTGATGCAAACTTTTAACAAAGGAAAAGGAGTAGTACTTATTTTTTAGTTGCATGAGCTAAATTATAGATGAAAAGTAAAAACTCACTTTATAGCCCTCTGCTGACTGAAGGCAGAATAGTTTATGCGCTGATATATATACCAACATGTATACACACATCCAAAATAATCTTACCTATTTCAAGGGAAATTAGAATAATGCTTAATTTTATTTTGATATTACTTTATAAGGAGATATACAAATATTTTAGGGATCATGGGATCTATTCCAGAGGAAACTAACCAACAGTGAACATCTTCAACTAAAACTACTCCTGGATATGATGGTAAGTGTTAAGTATTAAAATTAAACATTGTACATCAGTTGAAAGGGAAAATTGTTTGCAGGACCTGTCCACGCTATACTTCATAGAAACTTATTTTCTGTTTTAGTGCATGCATGGCTGATTGATAAACTAGACTAAGTATAGGGGTTAAAAGAGAACTTTTTCTCCATCTAAGAGAAAGTTAATTCAGAGCCTTAGCTTTGATACCATTAATTTTAATTGGAAGAGGATCAATATAAAATGATTTATTTACATTTTAAACTACCCCCACCTTTTAAAAACCATATATTTCAAAATCAAAGAAAGTTTGTTGACAATGGGGCAAAATTTCACACTGATCACTTACTTGCAATTAGTCAATCGGTTTAATGTCTTTCCTGTTTGGCATTCGACTTTCGACCCAGATAATGTGTTTATGTTTTTAAAGGACCAAAATACACTATCTGCCCCCACCTCTTTCCTACAGACCACCCAAGCTTTTCACTTCATGGGAAAGGATTTAGGCCTAAAGCTTTTAATGAAACAACACCCACTCACCCCCATTTTTTTGGTCTAAGTCTTTAAAATTTTTATAGGAAATAAAAAGAAAATATAACTTGGTGATGTAAAAAAAAAATTCACTCATCCACAGCGTCCATCTTTACCAAACAGAAGTCAACGCTTTCATATACTCTACAAGAGATTTGCTCTTTAAAAATACCCCATTTTCCTCTTCTCAAAGGAAAATGCTCCACTTATCACAATAATATACAAATAATAACGATGAGACCATTATTCAGAACTTCCAGCGTGAAGTAACTAGACAGTCAGGCTTTAATCTAAGGGGAGACAGGAAATTCCTGAGAAACGACTAAAACTTTCTTACTGGTTTCTTTCCCCTTTCTACCTTGGTATGTTAAAAATTATGTAGATAGAAATATTTAACAGTTTTTGAAGGTCTCTTTTAAAAATATTTATCAGTTTTAATAAATGATAATAACAAAGTAAATTCAGGAAAATAATTAAATCTTCATTTTGAATTTCCTGACAAGTGACAGCCAGCTTCCTGGAATCGCTTTGGTTTAATTTTGCTGTAGAGGATTTAGAAGATAATTCTTTTCTTGTGTTCTGTTCTTTAGATAATAAATAAAAGACAAAATGAAAGAGAGGAGGTGTAGTAGCCATATTAAGAAATTGAAAGAGATGATAATAATGTAAATAGTTCTTTCATATTTTAGCTAGTATTTTAAGTGACAATGAATTAATATTTACTCCATAGCTTAGAAGATAGAAAAAAAAAGTCCTAAATCTTTTTTATCAGCTTTCCATCTTTTTACCAAACTTGAGAGATTCAATATAACAATAAAGTGTACATATACCATATATTACTTTTGTACTTTAAAAATCATTTCGAAACAGACAAAATCTAAAAGTCTTATGAGTAATCATTTTTCAGAAAGATTTTTTTTTTCTCTGAAAAATGGCTATGGTTTTTCAGGCTCAAATATTTTTGGATATCTTGGTTTAATAGAACTGTTTGATATTAAAAGATAACATATGAACTCACAAATATTTCTTTCTGTTTTTCCAGGTTGCATGCATCATTCCTTTAATTGAGCAGAGTTAACTGGATCAAATTATTTATGGGAGAAAGAGGGAGAGCTATACAGAATTACAGTAATTTTTATTTTCCACCAATATACACTTTGTAAGTGAACCACCCTATAAATATTTTATGTTGCACTGAATGCAGCAACAATAACAAAATAGTTTCTTAAGGTATTTGTTTCTGCATACTCTGATCTTGTAATTATTTACATAGCAACCATATTTACTGATGTTTTTGATTATGCCAAGAAAAAAAAGTTCCACTACTCAGAAGTGATGGCCAGAAACAGGATCAGACATTTATTTTCTTGAAATTAAATAAATAAATGGAAAACCTCACTTATCAACTGTTATAACTGTACCACTGCATAAAAGTTCAGATGTGTAGAAAACTGACATTTGTCAGTCTTTCAGACTGTTTTGCTCTCCATAAAGTTTCTATCTGCTTTTTTCTCAGAATCATACAATTAAAAGAAGTAACAACTTGTTTTCTTTAATATTCTGTGAAAGAATTCTAAGTACTGCCTCTTTGGACAATACAATTTTGGTTTTTTGTTTTTGAAGAAATTCCACTCACTGGAATTTTGACTATCTGGATATTTGTTTTTAAAAGGCAGGGGAATTTTATTAAGCACCTCTATGGATGTGAACTGATCATTTATATCAAAACAGTCAAAAGATTTATTCTCAATTCACCAGAATTAAATATTCTGTCTATATATTTAACACCATTCACTCTTTCTTATGCAAATTATAAGTACATTTTCCAAAGGTTCTGGTTTTAAATTTTGAATATGAAAAGGAGTTTCCTTTTCTGTGTTAAGGTATTATTTTGTTAACTATAGCACCAGTGATGTTCAAAATATATTCTGAACATCACTTTTTAGTTTATATCCTTCTGATACTAAGGCAAAGCCCTGTAGTAATTAATAGGAGGAGCACTTAAGCTAACAATTGCTTTTTATTTGGTTTCACATCCATACTTAGAAACATTGCATTAAAAAGAAAATGAGAAGTTTCAATAAATCCCTGTTGCTTAATAAAGTATTGGTAAAAATGTATGCCATTGTTCAACCCCACTATCAAAGCATAAGATACCAAAGTTGAATCGCAAAATTCATTAAGCTCATTTTGAAAATGGCTGCCGTTTCCATGAAAAAGATAAGTTTCTTTTTCATGGGCAAGGTTATGGCACTTATCTACTCCAAGAAACATGTATAAACATAGTCTTTATCTTGAACTTCAGTATTAAAATATGCAGAAATTTTATGAAGAGGAAAAACATCTGGTTCAGCCCTTCTGAACTCTGACTGCATGTGGGCAGGAATAATACGGATTGGAATTAAGAATAAACCCTGTGTTTAATTTTTTATGTCTTTTTCTTAAAAATTCAATGTGAATTTTCTGTTACATCAGTTCTCCATGTTAGCACATTTGAAACAAATGTATAAATGTACTTTCTGAATAAAGTGAAAAGTCTAACTTGTTTTTAGTTCCATAATGTTTTAATGTTTAATTCTATTGTGTGTTTTTCTCCCTTTCCCCTGACCCTCCAAAATCACCAAATCTGGAAAGCAGACTGATTGTATCTGCCCATGAGCAAAGGAAACCCGAAGGAACCAAGGGCCTGGCTGGACGAAGTTGTCATGTGTCTGCCTGTCTACACTTGCTGTGCAGAACATCCGCTCACCTGTACAGCAGGCACAGACAGGCAGTCACATGACAACCCAGCCTGAATGACAACCAGCCATTGAAAGAAAGCAGCCCTCACACCATAGCATCTACACCAAGAACTACAACCAAAATGAGGGGCGCGGGGATCTGGGATTTTAATCTGTTGGTTTAATACTTAACTCGTATGTATTATTATTATTTTATTTTGATTCAAATATTGAAACCAAATTTCCAAAAGTAAAGTGAGTGGTGCCTATGAAATATAATAAAACCCATTTCTGAAAATATTCCTGTGCTCTCTATAGTTCTCTTTTCCTAACCGTTGTCAGTAAATAACTACCCTGGACATTTATTTAACACAACTTTGCAGCATCCCATAATCAATATAAGTTCAATCTGATATTTCACAAAAAATAAATCATTCTAGTATTTCACCAAAACTTAAGTTTAGTTTTCAGTAACATGACTTTTAAGAGAGAGAGGGAAGAAATGTTCCCTTACCTCTCATGGATTTTGAGTTAATACACTGACAATTTGGGTCTGGGTAAAACACAGTGAAAAGAGAATTTATTTCCAACAATTTTCACATGTATTAAAATAGTTGTATCTCCCCTTTTGATACATAGAAGGTAAAATTTGAAGTGCTGAAATTTTTGAATGTCATCATGCAGATGTGTTACTGTGTCTTTGTTTGATTAAGAAGGGACTTGCACTAGAGATCTGAGGGTGAAATTTACAGGGCCAATGCATTCACTTGGAATATATGCTTCATTTGTCGTAAACTTTTAAGCTCTGGAGATATTTAGGCAGTTCAATTATTTTGAAAAAGAGCAAGGAACGGGATCAATGGCTATGCAATGTGAATTTTGCCATCTCTTTTGAGGAAATGTCAAAATTTCAGCTAATGCACTAAGAACTGGAGAAAAATAACCAGGGCTGGCTTGTTTAGGTGAATATTTCAAACATTTTAGGGTAAAAAGTGGGGAGATGTGTAAAATTAAAAATATATCACTTTGACTTGGTTGACTAAAATGTTTTAATGTAAGTATTTAAAATTTATTTTTATCTTTCTTGGAAAAATTCTGCTCAATTTTTTAAAGAAGCTCAAAATTTTCTACTGCCTTAATTTAATATTTCAAATACATATTTTACATATTCAGGTATTTTATTTTATAAATGGGAGATTTAATCTCAAGGTTGAAAGCCCATAAGCTTCAAAAATTTCTATAATTTGGTTATACTCAAATCTGACACTATAGTTCCTTTTAAAATACAGTGGGCAAAACTATGAAATATGATTATGGTCAAATGTCTTGCTTTCAACAGCCCAGCCTTATGGACTATGTTATCTGCAAAAAAAAAAAAAAAAAAAAAAAAAAAAAAACTTCTGCATCTGCAAAGGAAATTGTACCAAGCATATGAAACTATGCTTCATAAAATGTAAAATATAATCAGGGACACAATATAAGAATGTGTCAGAGGACATTTACATAGGACAACCTGATTTTAAATACTTTATGAGACCTGCAGCAAACACCACTGATAGGAGGCTATTTATGGATCATCCTACTGGACCCAGCAAGGCAGACCCAGGACAGTGTCTCTCTCTGGATGACATAATAGCTGGGTCAGAACATAAAAGAGATGTTCTATTTCACCAGACTCCAAAGGGAAAGCTAAGAGGCTAACAGTCATCCTGAAGTGAACTGCTCCAGGATAACTTTTCAAACAATGTTTTCTTAAAATTTGAGGTTAACATCTTGGTTTTATTTTTTTTAATTAGTTCTCAAGAATGCTTGAAAGAATGTTAAAAATATTTAAGTTCACTAAATGAGGTATCTTTAAATTTTACTTCTCAGGGAAAGGGTAATATTGATTGTTTCCTCAGCATAACTTTGAATTGGACACATACTACATATAGGTGAATGAGTGCGGCTCTACAAGTATTTTTTTTTTTTGCTTTGCCTTAATTGAACAAAAGTATTTTTAATAAATCATAAGTAGTACTTGCCATTACGGTTCATTGAATAATACCATATATTTTTCAAAATAATAAATTCTTGGATAATTCCAGAACATGGATATGTTTTTATGAAATAATATTACAGTAAAAATCATAACATAAGATCACTTATGTATGAGGGAAAAAAAACAAATATGATCATGAATAATTTTAAGAAAACAAAAATGGATTAAAGTTCAATATTTATTGGGAATTTTTGGGTGAAAGAAATACCTAAGTTTTGGCTAGCTATATCTACTCAGCAAAGAGTTTGAACAGTGTTTACAGGGTCAATCCTGACTGCCTCATCACAAGAAGCAGGCAGCCCCAGTAGGAAATAAGCAGAACTCTGAAAGTATAAGTGAAAACAGAAAAGCTAAAGATTTCTGTAACTTCTTGGTCTTACAACTTCAGTCATCCAGAGATATAGCTGTCACTTTGTTTCTTATTACCCAAGTTACATTTGTCATCTGTTACAGCTACATAATAAAAACAATACTAAGTAAATATCCCTATAAGGGAATTATATAATCTTCTTATCAAGCTATCCAAACACTTCCACCCACAAAAATGAGGCCTGTAATTCTTTGAGTGCAAAGAATGTTCTTATTTCGATGCAGAGTCTGGATTTTCTTCAATAGTGTAAGGTTAGTACATTTCCACTGGAAATACTTCTCTGAATTACCCTACTATGATTTTAATGTTCATGTTGGACTGTAAAAATAGAATTTCGACTGTGTGTTACTAATATGCATAAATTAGAGTCCCTTTTCTCCAGAGATTTTTGTCATTTATACATTTCTCATCAATATCAAAAAAAAAATAATGCTTTTTCTCCCTTGATCATCTTAAATTTAAATTTCAAACATATTTTAAGTAAAGGCCATAAATTTTCCCCCAAATCTGATTTTAAAGTATTAATATAAAATTATCTAAACCCCAAATCCTTTTGAAATGATAGTTTCTGCTTTATTCCCATACCTTGCCATTTTATAAATTCCTCTTCAAAAACTGTGTAAAATATATTTATAATGTGTGATAACACTGGAAAAGTTACTTTCTTCTAAATCCTCTTTAATCCAGGAAGTTCTATGGTCAGAGGAGAAAAGAAATCCATTAAACGCCAATGGTAAAAACTAAGAAAATTTTAGGATAATCTATCTCCAGTGGTAATTTTACCCGGTGATTGAACAATTTAGTTTAAATTAAGAAACCAGGATGTGATGAATTTTAATGTTGTACTTCTTCATTTATTTGCCCAATGACATCTTCACTCAACCAGCATTTACTTAGTGGCACTGATCAGTGCTGTGTCTTCCAGTGAATCAGACAATGGATCTTGGTCTATAGATGCTTACAGTTCAGCAGGAACTTAAACACTCAACCCATATCTAGCATGAAGGAGTTTTCATATCAATGTTTATATGCCAAACAAAAGTTCTTAAATCCATCCATTTCTACTATCAGTTTCAATCACCCATTCCAAACTACCATTAAATTTTAGACTAGAGTAATAGTCTCCCAATAAGCCTCCAATCCAGGTTCTTCCTCCTTCCAGCCATTCTCTGCAATGAATTTATCGATTCATTCTTTGAAAGGATCTATAAAAAATTACCAATTTTTTTTTTTGCCATTTCCCATTGACTTTTTGGTTATTGAGGAGGACTATAATAAAATTCTATCTCCAATGAAAGTTCTCTCACAATTAAGTAGCAGATGAGAAGATCACAAGGAAGAGATTAAGGGCTGGTGAGGTCATGCATACCTGATAGCACAGCAACATTTTTAAAAGTATAAGGCAGCATTACAGCATCTCTTATCTGCTCAGGGAGGTAAGGAGCAGAATAATGTCATGTAATATCCTACTTCTCATCAAGACTCACATTCTCATTTGCTCTCTGTTTGTATCTATATTCTACTTTCCTCTCCATGCTAAACTCTAATGTCAGCTCCTTCTTGAAAACTGCTGTCACCTCCTCATCTAAAAGCAACCTCTCTACAGCAAGACTGTTTCTTCTGATACTGCATGGATTCTGTGGAATGTCATTGCTATATAAGCATAAGCTCTGACTCTTCTACTGTACTCTCAACTCTTTAAGGTCTGATCTATCTTTGCATTTCTTCTCCAAAAAACCTTGCACAGTTCCTTGGTCACAATCTAGATTATTTAAACTTTTGACTCTATTTCCCTATGGGGCTATTAAATACACTTCCCTCCCCCCAAATATTATTATGTGATTCTCCAGCATAAAAATTTCAAAGGTTTCTCATATTTCTTAGGATCAAAGTCCCTAATCTCTATAGAATCCTTTCTTTCATTGTTCTAGTTACACTGGCCTTAATTCAGTTTCTAGAATTCATCACGCTCAACCCTGTCTCAGGGTATTAACACAAACCTTCTCTAACCTCCCAATCCCAGATACTCTTTAGTTCCAACACACCACTGGGTGTATTTCCTTTATAAGCCCTGCACCTATTAGGTCTTCCTGTTTGTTTATATATTTCCTTCATTGGGAAATATCCTGAATGAGGTCAGGTACCACAAATTCCTTGTTAACCTTTTTATCCTTGGTGATAAGGACAGAGTCTGGTATATAACAGGTGTTCAGAAAATACTTGCTGGGAAATGTTCAAGTGATTAAGAGCCTACCATTGACACTTAGCAGCTGGCTAAATTATTCATTCTTCTGAAGCCTCAATCTTCATCTCTAAAATAGAGAATGCATATAAAGTACTGTCTTAGCTCAGAGCTAAATTGTAAATAATAAATGCTAATAATTAACAAATGCTTCACCATTCCAATTGAAAATTGGTTTTCCTAAGTTTAAGCAGGAATGAATACAGGGAATGCTATGTTGAACTAGGGAGCATTTTGCTAACTGAAAATACATTGGTTTGGCTGAGCATTTAACTAGTGAGGGTATGCAAAGGTAGACTTACATGAAACTGACCCATATCCAAAAAAAAAAAAAAAACAGAAGTAATAAATGTTGGTGAGGATGTGGAGAAAAAGGAATCCTCATATGTTGTTGGTGGGAATGTAGACTGGTCCAGTTTCTGTTGAAAACTATATGAAGAGTTCTCATAATATTAAAAATTGATCTACCATATTACCCACCAATTCCTCTCCTATGTAGCTATACAGCAAATACAAAAAAACTAATTTGAAGGGATATACACATTCCTATGTTCACTGCAGCACTAAATACAATAGCTAAGATATGGAAACAACCTAAGTGCCCAAAGACAGAGTAGTGGATTAAGAAGATGTGGCTTATATATACATGATGGAGTGATATATATACACAATGGAATACTATTCAACTATAAAAAAAATAGATGAAATCTTGCCATTTGTGACAACATAGATAGAACTAGAGGAGATTACGCTAAATAAGTCAGAAATCAATGGAGCTTAGTGGCATCCATTCAAGATCCAAAGGGATAATAACACACAAACCAGTGCATCCAATCTCACCCCCATAAGCAGCTACTCCTTGACCTGGAGTATATATACTGGCAGAATAACTTGGAGAGGAAGAACCCAGAAAATATGTCCATGCAACCCCTATAAATGTATTTAGAGTTTTATATATATATAGAAAATTCCAAAGTGTGGAGTATTAAAACATGATCTAGAAGGATAGTCAGGTTTGGGGAAATCCCCTTGATTATAAACAGTTTATAAGATGGTCTATTGATTATCATGTAGCAAAAACCTAAACTTGGACTAATTGGAGTATACTAGAGGATAGCATATAGTCAAGTACATAGATTAATTATGTCTATCCTGGTCAAGCTGTGATTTAAAAACTCCTTGAGATGACATACAACTTAATGCTATATGATAGCAAATAACATTGCTTGGGACACAAATGGAAAACTTTTTATTAAACTCTTTTTTAGTAGCACTACAAATAACTTTACTATAATGTTGAATAATGGTCCAAAAAGGGCAGTCCTCAAGTACTTGTGGGCATTCATTAATTCATATAAAAATTAAGGGGAGGGTAGATAAATTCAGTCAGTATGGGAAAAACAGAAAAATTCTAGGGGACCCAATATTACAGCTGTGCCAATTATGGCTTAGATTATGAAACAGGGTTATACTACTGTCTTTGCCACCTTGGATAGGAAATTATATAGCTTATTACCACCATTTCTATTCCTTGTTTGAGATGTAGGAGAACTCATAGGCTAGAAGGGAAGCAGCATGTCAAGTGTCACTAAAGAAATAGGATTTGAGTTCTCCCTTGTCTGAACCTTATTCTTTGATGAAAAAAAATGACAACATCACAGTGGAAGGACAATGGTAGAAATAAATATATGGGTATGTTATTGCAAATAAGAACAATTATTAATATATGCATTTTTAAAGTCCTACAATTCCAGAAAATCCATAAATAAACCCACAGATTTGTGGTCAACTAATCTTTGACAAAGGAGCAAAGAATATGCAATGGAGCAAAGAAAGTTTGTTCAATAAATGGTGCTGGGAAAACTGTTTTGCTACATGCAAAAGAATGAAGCTTGACCACTACCTCACACCATGCACAAAAACCAACTCAAAATGGATTAAAGAACTAGACATAAGACCTGAAACCATAAAATACATAGAAGGAAATATAGGCGAAACACTACATGATATGCACATCAAAGACATCTTTACAGACACATCACCCAAAGCAGAGATAGTGAAGGCAAAGATAAACAGTGGGACTACATCAAATTAAAGAGCTTCTGCACAGCAAAAGAGACAATAACAAAAAAAAGAGAAACCCCACCGACTGAGAGAACATTTTTGCACACAACACTAATGATAAAGGACTGATCACAAAAATCTACAAAGAGCTGATGAGACTCGACAAAAACAAAGAAAATAATCCAGTCAAAAAATGGGCAGAAGAGCTAACAAGAATCTTCTCTGAAGAGGAAATGCAAATGGTCAACAGGCATATGAAAAAATGTTCAACATCACTTGTAATCAGGGCAATGCAAATCAAAACTACTATGAGATACCATCTTACACCAGTGAGATTGGCACATATTAAAAAAACTAGCAACAACAAATGTTGGCGAGGGTGTGGAGAAAAAGGAACTCTCCTGCACTGTTGGTGGGAGTGCAAACTGGTCCAACCATTATGGAGAGCTATGTGGAGATTTCTGGACCTACTAAACATAGAGCTTCCATATGATCCAGCAATTCCACTCCTAGGTATTTGCCCAAAGGACACAGAAACATCAATTCCAAAGAACACCTGCACCCCTATGTTTATAGCAGCACTATTTACAATAGCTAAGCTTTGGAAACAATCCAAATGCCCAAAAATAGATGACTGGATCAAGAAGATGTGGTACATATACACCATGGAATATTACTCAGCATTCAAAAAGATAAACACATGCAATTTGCAGCAACATGGATGGAGCTGGAAGGGATCATGCTCAGTGAAATAAGCCAGAAAGAAAAAGAAAAATACCGGATGGTCTCACACATAGCAGAAATCTAGAAAACTTAAATAAGGGACCAGGAAAAAGAATAACTATAAAAAAGAAAATATCAAAATCAACAAACAACTATGAACCAGAGACACACTATGGGGGGGTGGGTTGTGGGGAATGGAGGGCTTGGGGTCAAAATAAGGGGGTTGTAATTGTAAGGGGAATATAAAAATAAAATATAAATAATAAAAAAAGAAAAAATAATAAAGTCCTACAATTCCACTTGAGGTAATTTAGCCAGCAATGATGCCCACTTAACAAGTGAAAATACAGAAGTTTATAGAAGACTGACTTGTCCCCTGATTGGCCATTAGTCATAGTAAACCCATGTCCAATTTCTCACCCTTTCCATTATACTAACTGATCTGTAAGGTCTTTTGCTCAATTAATGTCATCCTGGAACACAATTTGAACTACTGTTTTTTAATCAAAGTATATTTTATAAGCTATTCTTATTTATTACAAACCTACCATAAATTAAACAAAACCATATATATTTATATGGTTACCTTCATACTTATTCAATTTATATGGTTAGCTAATTACTTATTCAATAGTCGAGTAAAGTATAATTAAAGTGTACCAGGCTAATTACATGAGAAAGCAAGATGGTGGAACATAGGAAAAAATATGACAATCCTTTATGAAAATTTGAGTATAAATTGACATTGGATAAATGAATCAATGTATAATGAACTTAATAATATTTCCAGTGACACATTTGCTTGACTAAGAAAGGTAAGTTGTCATGTAACAGAATTTTCAAAGTGTATCATTATCCTCCCCTTCCAACCTTGGTTCCCAGCAGACACAACAAATGTTGAGTACTAGCCAAGAGAAAGAAGAGGTACTGACCCTTCCCTTTCACCCTGAGAGCATTCTCAGAAACAGTCTGCAGTGGTAGGAAATTCAGGCAAGAGGTGTACAGAGCAGGGTAGAGGATATAGGTGGGAATGAATGTGGAACGAACTCTTACAATTTGAAAAGAGGATCCATTCATCAGTTATTCATTAATAATTTCAAAGTTCCTATCTTGCTTCTTGAACAGAGTCTTTAGTGAGCAACAAGAGCTAGCAGGAGCTGTCTGTGGTCCATCAACTTGCCCCCCTAGATGCTGTGAGTGACCCTCCCCAGAAACTACATAGTATCTCTTTTTGCTTGGATGACTGTTAGTCTCCTAGTTGATCTGCCTTCTTCTATTCTTGCCATCTTGCTCCTTCCACACACACATTGCATCCTACACATCATACCCAACTCACCAGACAAATCTTCCCAAAACATAAACCCTACCATGTTACCTCCTGTTACAACAACCCAGTGATTTTCAATGATGCTTCGAATTAAAATCTAAATCATTGAATAGGGACTGACAAGGCCCTACCCACTAGTACCTCTGATTTTATTTCCTGCCTTTCTCCTACTTCTCCTATATTCCAAATACCAGCTTCTTGCTGGTGCCTATTTAGGGGCTTTATCCTTGTTGTTCCCTCTACGTAGAATGTTTCTCAACAAAATCTGTACAGCTCATTCTTTCAGTCTGTGTGTGCCAGTGTTACTTCCTCCCAAACACTCTGTCTAAAAGTCCTTCCATCACTTTCTATCTCTCTGACCCTATTTTTTTTCTAGAACACTGAAATTCAATATCAATATGATATTATGTTATTATCATATTATTGTATAAGTTTACTTGTTGATTTCATAGAAAAGAAAAATTGTCATTTTCTCTTTCTTGAAATGATTTAAATTGAGAAAACAACTTTCCTAAACTTTCTTCACCTACATCACTCTGTTTATTCTGAGGGTCATTCCCACCCTCCCCATGCTCAACCACTGTCTATGCACACACTTTTAATAATATGTTACCTGGCACTCAGTTAATACTATAATTGCACACACATGTATTTTTCTTCTTGTTGTAGTTGAATGCTGATGAGGGAGCTTTAGCTGCAGATGTTTTGTAAAAAGTTATCATGAGTTTATAGAGGAGAGGAGGGATGACTGGTGACCATGAATATCACCAAACTTAGCGTTTCTTCCTTCCCTCTGGGAGCAGGGTAGCTTTCACTGCAGTGTTTCAGTACCCACATATCCATACAAGAGAACCCTAAAGCCATATTCTAAAAGCAGCTGTTACCCAAGGGTCTTCAGAGCCCCCCATATTAGCACTCAGGAAAAGGACAATGCCAATATGCCTGGAGTTCATCTTCTAATGTAGATCAAATAAGTTTGTGTGTGTGTGTACACAAATCACTAGGTATAACTAATTATGGTTTCTCTGAAAAATCTTGTACTTTCCCTAGAATTACTGAAATACATAAATGATTATCTAAATCCCTGGAAGGAAATATATCAAAGAGAAGATTTTTTTTTTTTAGGGCAAATGAGCACAAAAGAAGATACTTCGTTTACATATTTTTATATCTAATGAGGCATCACAAAGCTGTGGTATTTAAACACTAGCATTTCCTACCAAAAGACAGGGGTATCTAAGCAGCCAGCACAGAAACCATTGGTAATCTTCAGACTCTCATAATGAGCAATGAAATATTTGACTCAAGTCAGTAAAATAGCTCACATAAAAAAATTTTATGAAATCGTTTTAGTAGAAAAGTTTTTTGGACATTGCTATGGGATTTGATTTCCCTTGCTACAAAAAATTTAATGGCAATTAACTAATTATCCAATATTTATTCAACATACTATTATACACAAAGCTCTTAGGAAACAAAAAGAACTATGTAAGTCTTGAAACTTCTCTGCAGCAGCTGACAAAGGCGTGTATCATACTATCAAAGGATATCAAGCCAAGGGAGGAGAACTTAACTCTAAACTCATGCCCTTTATAGCCAAATAAAATTGAGACGATCTCACTTATAAATAGTTTTGCTATCACAAAGTATTGTTATGTTTACATGCTACATTATAAGCACCTAAAACTTCTCAGGTCAAAACAGAGCATGAAAATTCACAAAACATAATTTAATTTCCATTCACATCCTCCCAAATTTAGTAGAATCACTTTGAAGCACTTAAATGGTGCTGTAAGACTGATTAAGACATTATTTTTGGACTTTTATAACTATCACATTTAAGTGAATAGTAAGTCACAAGACCAAAATTATTAACATCTACCATGAACCAGACTGCCATAGTTTTCATAATGCATGCTTTTTTTAATAGCTATCAAATTCTCAAAGAACAAAGTTTGTTTAAACAATTATCTGGGACTCATTTGAAGATCAGTGATTTGGACATGTTCAAAAGCCCATCATTTGAGGCTATGTGACAGTGACAATTCCAAAATGCTTTAGTACCACTGTATCAATGCATTAATTTCTTTTTTAAGAGGGTGTATACCCTTGGATCTTTTCAATACATCATGAAAATTGCTTTCATTCAACTAGTGTCTCCATTATTACAAAGAAGGAAGTTTCCAACTACTGCCCATAACTCCATCTCTTCAGGTAAACAAACACATAACTACACCAAAGAAAGCAACAAATTTTGAAGGGAGAATTGTAAAATTACAACTCTAAGAAGAAACAGGCAAAGCTTCTCAAGCCAACATTCCAAACCAAGTCTTACTGAAAGAGACCCACTGGTGTCTCAAGAATTAGAAACATTGTTGAGAAAGCTCTGTCACTGTGTGACTTACCTCATCATCTTTATACCAGGACAAGCTTTCAGCAGTAAGGACAAACCAGTATCCTTTAGATCCTCCTTTCATGATGCCAATATTGCTGATGGTTAACCACCCTTTGCGAATCACCTACAAAAGAGCACAGATTGGCAAAGATGTTTAGTTTAAAGTGATCCAATAGAGAACACAGGTCTTGCACTGAGTGAGTTAAAAAAAACAAGATACAAATTGCAATAAGAATAGCTTTGCCCCTTCAAAGCTCAAACTCTGTTAAGCTATTTAAGATAACTTCTCTTCCCCACATACAGATAACCGAAGTACAGAGAAGGAAACCTCTCCCATCAAATTAACTAAATCAAAGTCACAAAATTGTATGGATGGTGCAGCAGAGCAACTGAAACAGACAGGAATGAAAAGAGGCAGACTAATAGGCTGTTCCAGGCCTATTTATGGCATTGCTGTTACAATTAAAACATATTTAGCTGATTGGATGAGCAACAATAGACTCTCCATGCCCACTGCCTCTTCCATCCCACTGGCCCATTTGTTTGCCTGGTTTGCATCTAATTAGGAATTTTACCAGAGACTGGCCACCAAATGGTGAAAGAAGAAACTCAAGTCAACCAACAGTTGCTTGTTAACAGCTCTGAATAAGGCTGAATGAGAGAGAAAGTTGAAATAATAAGCTAAAATTAAAAGATTGGTGTTTTTTTTCCTAGAAGAAAACATAGGCAGTAAGCTCCTTGACATCAGTCTTGATGAATTTTGGATCTTACTCCAAAAGCAAAGACAACAAGCATAAAAAAATGGGATTACAGCAAACTAAAAATTCTCCACACAAAAAGGAGATCCTCAACATAATTAAAAGGCAATCCACTGAAAGGGAGAAAATATTTGTAAGTCATATATCTGATATGGGGTGGCAGTTTAAGTACCTAAAAAGTCATACAACTCAATAGCAAAATAAAAAAAGGGGGGGGGTAAAAAAATCGGATTTGTTAGCTATCTGTATGTCTTCTTTGGGAGAAAACAAAGTATGTCTTCTTCCCAAAGAAGACATACAGATAGCTAACAAATAGATGAAAAGGTATTCAATATCACCAATCATCATGGAAATAAAAATAAAAACCATAATGAGATATTGTGTTACATCTGTAAGAATGATTATGATCAAAAAGACAAGAAATAACGTGCTGGTGATAGAGACAAGAAAATAAGTGTTGGCAAGAATGTGGAGAAAAGGGAGTCCTTGCACATTGTTGGTGGGAATGTAAAATTGTGCTGCCATTCTGGAACACAGAGGGAGGTTTCTTAAAAAATTAAAAATAAAACTATCATATAATCTAGCACTTCCACTTCTGGATACTTATCTAGAGAGAGTGGAAACACCAATTTGAAACAATTTATGCATCTCCATGTTCATTACAGCTTAATTTACAAAAGCCAAGTTATAAGAAGAACCTAAGTGTCCATATGTGGAAGAAGAGACAAAAAAATTGGAATATTAATCAACCACAAAAAAAAAAACAGGAAAGTCTTGCCATTTGTGACAACATGGATGGAACTTGAAGCTATTATGTTAAGTGGAATAAGTCAAAGACAAATAAGTGCATAATGTCACTTATATGTGGAATCTAAAAATAACCAAATTCAAAAATACAAAGAACAGAGTGGCAAAGGTGTTGGATGAAGGTGAAATGGATGAAGGAGGCAAAAGATACAAACTCCCAATTATAAAATAAGTTATGGGGATGTGTTGTAAAGTTTGATGACTATAGTTTAAAACACTGTATTGTATATTTGAAAGTTGCTAAGAGGGTAGATCTTAAAAAAAAATCCTCACAGAAAAAAACTGTAACTATTCATTGCGATGAATGTTACCTAGATTACTGTGGTGATCATTTCTCAATACATACAAACATCAAATCCCAATGTTGTATACCTGAAACTAGTATAATGTTATTTGTCAATTTAATCTCAATTGTTTTAAAAGTTTGGAGTTTTTCAATTATTGATGAAATTCATATGGAATCACCAAAAACCCCGAATAGCCAAAGCTCTCCTGAAAAAAAAAGAAGGGAATGGAGGCATCAGACTCCCAGACTTCAAACTATACTACAAAGCCATAATCATCAAAACTGCATGGTATTGGAACAAGAACAGACATACAGACCAATGGAATCGAATAGAAAATCCAGAAATAAACCCACAGATTTATGGTCAACTAATCTTTGACAAAGGAGCAAAGAATATGCATTGGAGCAAAGAAAGTTTGTTCAACAAATGGTGTTGGGAAAACTGGGTCGCTACATGCAAAAGAATGAAGCTTGACCACCACCTCACACCATACACAAAAATCAACTCAAAATGGATTAAAGAACTAGACATAAGACCTGAAACCATAAAATATATAGAAGGAAATATAGGCGAAACACTACGTGATTTGCACATCAAAGACATCTTTACAGACACATCACCCAAAGCAGTGATAGTGAAGGCAAAGATAAACAGCTGGGACTACATCAAATTAAAGAGCTTTTGCACAGCAAAAGAGACAATAACAAAAACAAAGAGAAACCCCACCAACTGGGAGAACATTTTTGCACCCAACACTAATGATAAAGGACTGATCACAAAAATCTGCAAAGAGCTGATGAGACTCAACAACAACAAAGAAAATAATCCAGTCAAAAAATGGGCAGAAGAGCTTAAAAGAAACTTCTCTGAAGAGGAAATGCAAATGGCCAACAGGCATATGAAAAAATGTTCAACATCACTTGTCATCAGGGAAATGCAAATCAAAACTACCATGAGATACCATCTTACACCAGTGAGAATGGCACATATTAAAAAAACTAGCAACAACAAATGTTGGCGAGGGTGTGGAGAAAAAGGAACTCTTCTGCACTGTTGGTGGGAGTGCAAACTGGTCCAACCACTGTGGAAAGCTGTATGGAGATTTCTGGACCTACTAAACATAGAGCTTCCATATGATCCAGCAATTCCACTCCTAGGTATTTACCCAAAGGACACAGAAACATCAATTCCAAAGAACACCTGCACCCCTATGTTTATAGCAGCACTGTTTACAATAGCTAAGCTTTGGAAACAACCCAAATGCCCAAAAATAGATGACTGGATCAAGAAGATGTGGTACATATACACCATGGAATATTACTCAGCATTCAAAAAAGATAAACACATGCAATTTGCAGCAACATGGATGGCGCTGGAAGGGATCATGCTCAGCGAAATAAGCCAGAAAGAAAAAGATAAATACCGGATGGTCTCACTCATAGCAGGAATCTAGAAAACTTAAATAAGGGACCAGGAAAATGAATAACTATAAGAAAGTGAAAATCAAAATCAACAAAAAACTATGAACCAGAGACACTTTTAGGGGGGCGGGGGTGGGAGGGGAGGGATTGGGGTCAGAATGGGGGGGCTGCAATTGTATGGGGACTATAACAATAAAATTTATTAAAAAAAAAAAAAAAAAAAAAAAAAGAAAAGAGTTAAATAAAAATTCATGAAAAAAATGAAAAAAAAAAAAAAAAAAAAAAAGTTTGGAGTTTTTCAATGGCCTGGATTTATCCATCTACTTCTGGTTATTATTTGCCATTCTGAAAAATATGTAACATCTTCATAAAAATCTTTTAAAAAATTTAAATGGTAAAACATTAACAATTTGTATTATAGATTTGATAGAAATCATTTACAGATGGTAATAAATGAAAATCTATTTTCTCACAGATGTAAAATTAAATTCTGTTTTCTTTTTATGGCATAGATTAGCATCTTTTCAATGGTAATTTTTGTTGTCATAGAATCAAAAATAAAACACTACATGAAATTGTATGCTATTGTCCTAAATATCAAAAATCACCCCATGTTTAAATCATTCACTATCCTAAAAATACTAAAATATTAAAAAAATACTTATTGGATGACTCATGGGTATTGGTTCCTAAAGGAAGATGAAAATATCTTATTAACCACATTTTATTTTTATATTGCTATCAAATTTTCTACTTGAAGAAGAAAGTAAAACCTAGGGAAAATAGTGAAATAAGCCAAGGTTGTCACTATTAACTTTCCATGCCTCTCTCTACACTCCCAGGCCCTGTCACCTTAGATTCCCTGTGCCAACACCTCCCAGGTATCCATTCTCATTTTTAATGCTTTGTAACATTTATAGACCCCATAGAGAACCCCATTCAGTTTCAGACTAAGGCAATTCCCTCCATTATTCAAAATTATTCTGTCCTCTCGCTCTCCACTTCAGAAAGAAGAAAACAATGCTTCTTAAATTATATTATAATCATTTGGATGTTTTCTAAAAATATAGATTCTTAGGCCATCTGTATTCTGAGAATACAGATTCTTTTTTTTTTTTTTAAAGATTTTATTTATTTATACAAGCACTGGGTACAGTCAGAAGCATGGGAGGGTGAGAGAACTCACCAGAGCCAGAGCGGGGAACAGAACAGGCAGACTGATGAAATACACTACTGAGGGGAGCAGCGGGCGGCAGGAGAGGTCTGCGCGCCATGTGGGACCCTCATTGGTTGCCGGGGATGGAACCAGTGCTGCAGAGGCTGTGGGCAGCCTCGCAACCCAGTGCTCAACTGCTGCGCCACCAGGGGAGGCCCTAGATTCTTAATAGAGTCTTAATCCAAATGAATCAGCATAGCTACATATGAAACCCAGGAATCTACATTTTAACATGTTTCCAAGGTGATTCTTATTCACACTAAAGTTTGGGGGCTGCTGCATGTACACATATAATCAAAACTTTATTCTTCTTAGAGAAAATGATTTCATCTAATTTTTAATAAGAAACTGGTTAAATTACTTCACACTAACATTGTTGTCCACTCTGTCAGGGCTTATAAATAGCATACTAATCATAGCACTCAATGAAAGTATACTTATTATTTCATTTTATCAGATATCTTTGGCTAGAGAGGAAGGCTAATTTGCAATCCCAATAAGCAAATCACATTTCACTCACTGGGAGAGAGGGTTGTCATAAACATAGTTTACAAACATTTCTTAAGAACCTATCATATGCTAAGATAAAAATTAAAAAGCATGATGGTGCCATAGTCCCTGCACTTAAGAATCTC